ATACAAGTGTTGAAATTACGTGTCTGTTAAATAGAAATGTTACATAGAACTGTTTAATTTGTGCTTCTGTTTTTTTTTTTTCTACTTGAAGTATTATTATCACTGCAAATAATACTGCTTAATAAAGTTATCAGATTTTCTTTTACAAAATAAACTTATAAAATTCAACGATAGAGAAACTGTTGAATTACCTATATTAGATCATAATCTATCTTCACTTCAGCTTTCAATTTCTGTTTTTAGCAGCCATTTTGCAGATCAAATTTTACTTTGTAAATTGAACGTTACAAAATATTATACTGAACAGAAAAAAAATTATATTTAATATGACTGCTGTTTCGCTATTACAAATCCAACAAAAAAAAGCCGCTAAAAAAACAAAATTTAAACACATTTTAAGTTAGGCAACTTAACTGTTAAAGTAATTAGTTGTCGTCGGTAATACTTAATATAAGGGTTCCACCAAAACATACGGCACTTATTATTATCAATTTGTTAAGAACTACATTTAAAAATCTAAAAAAAACTACAAAAATTATTTTTCAATTTAAACAAGCCTTTTGACACTTAAAATGCATGTATAGTGCACAGAGGTATTTATCAGTCTGTTTTAACTATAAAAATATCTGTCACATATCTTTTATTTTTGAAAATGCTATACTAAAGACGCCCAGTAGCTATTTAAGGTAAACAAATTTGATAACTTCTAATTCTCTATTTTTATCTGAATGTTAAAAACAACGTCGAAACCTTTTTTTCTCTTGTAAGCCACCATAAATTATCAGGGAAAAAAAATATTTATGATAATTAATAATAACCTATCTATAAGACATTTCGTTGGCACACAGAAATTGCAGTTTACAACTGAATAAACATTTGCGCACATCAACTTGCACATCCGTATCAAAAACTTTGTACATATGGTGGAAAGAATTATTCAACAATTAATTGCCAATACAGTAACTGAATAGCATTAAATAATTCGTGGACTTTTAAATGTTCTTCTCCGCCTACGTTTATTTCAGTCTGATTTATTGGTCAAATAATTATATACCAAAAATACAACTATGCCAGGAAAATTGGAAAAAAAAAATCACGAGTCAACTAAGGCAATAAAAAACAGCATTGATTCTACAGATTGATTCTACAGAAGCAAAAAATACACACAAACATTTTTCTCCTATTTATTCCCAGCCTTGTACTTTCTTTGGACAGAAACTGTCTTGGAACAATCTTACATGTTTTTTATTGCCAGTAACATTGCGGCCACATTGAAAAGTTAACGACAATTTGCGGTCTTCTTTCTTATCTACCTAAACTTTGTGAATGGAGAGTCAATTAACGGATGGATTGGAGGAATGCGGATGGGCGAAGATGACAACCTTATTATGTTTCAAGCAAGTCCCTGTAAGATCAGCGGTTAAAAAACCATCATCAAACAATTTTCAGTGACAACAATGTCACCGTCATTCTAACTACGAAACACACAAAACTATTCCTTGGTATCTCATTTAAAAAAACATTTTGTTCGGGTCATTAATTTTTTGAGATTGCCCAAAAATACCTGTATTTGACGAATAATAAAACAGAATAATTTAGGAACTGTTATTTTGCTAGCTGAAATTTTTTAATCAACTTTATGCACTGATACACGCCAAAAGATTAGCAGATAAAAGCCATACTGGTTGGGGACAATGTGGTAACTGTGAAAGTAACATCTAAGACTAATTGCCGACAAATAGTGCCATAAAAGAAACGTGTATCATCAAGCCAGCAAAACATGGCACCTCTTTCAAGATTAAACAATCAGTAGAATCCTACAGTGATAGTCTTTTTAAACTCAAGTTTACAATTGTTTAACAAACTGAGGAAAGTAAATACGATGAAGAGTGCTAAAATAAGTACCGATAAAGAATGCAGTGTAAACCAACGAAATCCAAGCCGACAGATTGATTATCAAAGATTTCATGAAATTAGCGGTAGTGCCAACAGTTTAGGAATTTATTCATTTAACACACAAAATTTATTTGAAGCTTCCGTACTATAATCAGAAGTATAAATAATAATCTAACACAAAAACTACTCTGTCCAATTGCTGCTTATCGCTTTATACTTCATTACTATCAACGAATAAAATTTTGCAGAAAGAATCTTTTCACCGTCTATACTATTCACTTAGGATTAACACGGTTGTGAAAATCAGCTTAAGTTCACAATTTCCTGGATTTGTTAATTGGCCAAAGACAACTATAAACATTGAAAAATCAAACATTGTTACTCCACACCAGACAGTGACCTGTACAGAAAGTCTAGACTGTCATTATATGTTTCTTGAAACTGCAAAGGAAATTGTGTAAAGTACGATTTTATCTATATAGATCTGTTAGGTTTGACAGCACAAATTGCTCTAACTGTAACGTTTGTAGCAATTCTGTTGCCAACTGTTACAGTTCCCGTCCTACGTACCTCTGTTCATAAAGTACACAACAGACTTGTCGGTACGACTGGATAACAAAATAATTAAGCTGCTCGTCGACCAATTTCACAACGATAAAACAGCTTTATAATAATTTCTTTCAAAAAAAGTTGCTGTTAAATGAATAATAGCGATAAGTGCGTATAATTTCTACCACAATTCATTCTACGGAACATTTAAAAAAACTATTTCCTTATTTGTTATGCATCAAATGTGCCGCATGATAAATGAAAACAGTTAAATTTTTGTGATAAGCGATCTCAATCGCGTGAAAAAAAAAAGCTAGTGTTTGGTTATAGGGTGGAGAACTGTGACGCAATAAACAGCGCTCCTGGAACCTATAAAACAGGTACTGCCGCTTGAGAACGCAAATTTGGCCCTTTATCAACTAGGAATCGGTGAAAACAACAAAAGGCACGCAAACAGAAAGGAACCGGAAGATTCTTTGAAACGACTGAGGAAAAAAGTAAATATCGTTAAGCAAGAATTTCAGACGATACAGCCTCACGAGCTTCTGCTTACTGTGCTCCAACCAGTCCAAATCTCACTGTAGTTTTCGCTGAGACCCTGGACAGGTATCTAGTAATGGTGATCGAGACTGAATAGATCATTCTTCAGGCAAACTAAATCATTAAGCGTTCCTTTGCCATACCTACCAAGTCAAAAATATTGGGTTCTAGGGCCATGTTAAACTAAACTGCTCAATACTGAAGTCCAGTGTAAATACAGGTAGCCAGCTGTAGGATGTTAACAAGTGGAGCTGTTGCATGTGACGTTACGGGCCCTAAACAATGCATAATTTGTCTGACCGCGCTTCCTAGTCCGAGATGATTACTAAGATGAAACAAGTAAGGCAGAAAAATACGTTTGTTATTGTCTACTGCCACGAATAATACCTCTGCCTATCACTTAAAAGCGAAAGAACTAAAAAGAATGTGTTCATCTCCAGTTTACTGAAGTGCCGCCCAGAAGGAGAACAAGTACCAATACCTTGTCTTTACGAATTACTGTCTCTAGGACGCTGCAAAACGCATGGCCCTCAGATGAGGACCAAAAGAAAAAAATCAAGGGTTAACGGTCAAAGTGGTCTCAAAAGATAGCCTAGCAGAAGCACTGCCGGTTCAGCAAAACAACCGAGAGTCGTCAGTAGTTTCAGCCTATCCCAACAAGACACATCCAGTTTAACAAATACTGGTCCTTCGAGGTAAAAATCGTGACAAGTGCAGAAAACAAGATCCCGACAGACTAACTTTACCTAATCCATCAAATGGTAACTAAACAAAGTGGTCCCCACAGAACATTAAAATCTTTAAATTCCAAAAATGATTTCAAACGTCGAGCAGCAATTCACCTGACTGGGTGTCATTAAAGACATTGAGCACTATCCACTGCCAAGGTTACTACCTAGACACAAAAATTAACCTTCATTTTCTCTCAGGTAGTGCAGAAGTAAAACTATTCTAAAAAGTTTCATTTGCACATCTAATAATAACAATTATCAAACCAGAAAATACGATTTATGTACAAAACAAAAAAATAAAGTTGACCACATTTGGCGGATAGACAAATGATTTGCATAAAGCGAACGAGAAACCAATTTCAGAAATACTAAAAAAATACCTTTTTTGAAACTGATAAAAATGATCTTTTCCTCAAATAATAAGAAAAACAGAAAACATCTTTTCTCAATCTGGAAAAAATTATGAGATTAACTCGTCAAAAAATTTGAGATCAAATTTCCACTAAAAAAATCTAAAAGAACAAGTATGAAAAAGGAAGCTGTTTAGCACTCCCTTTGAACACTGCTGGGCTGTCAACAAGCTTGAAGAAGACAAACCACTAGAAGCAAATAGTACAACAAAAAAATTATTTTAATACATTAAAAATAAATACCCAAAGAGAACCCACACGAAAAGAAGTGCGTCACATTTCGTCTTTCTATTAAAAAATAAAATTAATAAAAAATTTACTTATTTAACTTTAAATTCCAAGTAATAACAATACGGTCCTTGAGGGTCCAAGAAGGAAATCAAGCTGAAGACTAAAAATAATATTATCTTGGTTTTTTTGCAAGAACCTTCCCCTTTTTCAAATCTTTTTTACTGCTTTCATCCTCTGCCTTCCTCTTCACCGCTGTTTTCACACTGACTTTGCTAAAGAACGAATCAATCCTTCCTTGTTGTGAAGCCTGTCGCCCTTTTTTCATCCTTGCTAAGCTACTCCGAATACGTTCTTCACTATAAGACATGAAAAGATTGAAAATCAAGCATTTAATGTTACAAGAAAAAGAAATTTTTAAATAGTAACCGGAAAAAGTAAAAAACTAAAACATTACTTAAAATTCTTTTCTTTACAAAGGAAAGCGACCACACCCTCAATATCCGGTTCTTTCCAAACCAACTAAAAAAATTAGCAGAATATCACCAATAATAATTTCATGTTCTTAAAAAGAAATCAGCTAAATTTTAGTAAAATTTACACTGATCTGACTCATGTCTTCTATAACGTCAGGCTTTCTAAAGAGCTCCCGGCATTCTTTATATTTCCAGTTCTCAGGTACAGGATACTTCTAAACAAAAAATTAGTTCTCACCAAACAGTCACCTATGTAACGCGACTAAGAGGAGCGAGTAAAATGATAAACAAGTAATTAACAACAAATATAAACAGAAACAATAAAAACCTACCTTAGTGTCAATATTCTCGAGTATATTTTCAATAGACTTGTGCTTCTGGATCAATTCATATGCTTTTCGTGGCCCTATACCTCTTATTTGTGGTGCATAATCACACCCAAGAAGAATGCACATGTCGATGAATTGATCCATATCCATTTCCATGTCACTTAGAACTTTTTGTAAACAAATTTCTTTTACTGGAAGCTTCTTTGCTTCACTGTAAAATATAAGCTTAATAAAGAAATCAAGGTTTCACATATAAGAATAAACAAAAAAATCTTGTAGTCTCCATCGAACCAATCGAAAACATTTTATTAAATTAACTGAAGAAAGTGAAACTTAAATAAAAGACAGCTAAAATTTTTGATAATCTCTTTCAACTTATGGTGAAAATAAAACGAGTGACAAACAATTACCAAGTTCCAAAAAAGATTTTACCTGGCAAGTAATTGCCTCAAAAGGATATTTGAACCGAACGTTAAAGCGTCCATATCTTCTGTAGCCGTAGCAAACGCTTTACCATGTCGAACTAAAGCAGCGCACTGAGCCTCTGCTTCACAAGGTGCTTGTACTATAGGAATACCCATTAATTGAAGTAATTTTTTGGCTTCTTCATTCTGCTCTCTGGTCACCTTCAAATGGATTTCAGTACATATTAGTCATAATATTACAAAAGAAAGCCGTAACAGTACAAGAACCTACCATTAAGGCAAATGAACTAAGCAGAAAAAAAAGCGCTAAACGCTGTCTAATGAAAATACTTACTTTTACTAAACGTCGTTCGAACTTCTCTATGCTAACAACATCGCCAACTTCATTTGCTTCATTCAGTTGTTTTTCTGCCTCCGCTCTTCTTTCACTTCGTTTGGCCAGTTCACCAGATTTCATTTCTGGCGCTTTACCATCAAAAACGTAAACTGGCTTTATCCCATTGTCTATCATTCTAATTGTGCGATAAAATATGCCATTGAGATGGCTGCAAGAATAAATATAAGCGTTAGAAATTTAAATCACTGCCAATCAATAAATAATTAATTTTGTGGCACTTAACTAACCTTGTCGTTTCACCAGTCTCTGCCTGAAGTTGACTTCCGTCAGATCTAACAGCAATAAGAAACTGATATAAGCACATAGAAGCATCCAATGCCACAATACGACCAAAATAATTCTTAATTTCACTCAACTTGACGCCATTTGGTGCATGATCACCAATCACTTTTGAGAGGTCTTTTATTCCCATAGCGTCCCCACAACAAAGTACTGCTTCTCCAACAATTAAACTCTTCTAGCACCTCTGAACAGACTACGATTTACAAAACTATACTAAGAAAAAAGAAAAAACCTTCACCCTTTTTTAAAACAACTTGGAATCGATAAGCAAAAGCCGTATTTTCGAAGAACTTGTAAGTGTGGATGCGCCAATATTACGCTTTTCAACTTTCGCGCCATGAAGCTTTTGGATGGGCAAAATTCCAATGCCGCTGATTTCCTTATCCGAATCGCCGAAATCCCGTGTAATGACCACAAATCATGGGTGTAAGCGGTCTGACTCAAATGTAAACCAAAGAACAAGCATATATTGTCTGCGCAGTTCCTACTGTTATACTTGTCAGAAATAGTTGCTAGAGATACTGAAAGTAGTTGTGTTCTAGAAAATTGTTACCTTATACACCAGGGTATTGCATCTCATTTTTTAATAATAGCAAGTTTTTTTTTTTTTTTTTT